TAAGTCCTGGTGCCTCTTTTGGAGGTTAAAAAAAAAAAAAGACCAGATCTTAAAAAAGACACAGTTGGAATAAAATCTGGAATAAATGTACGGTTTCTATCATTCAAATGCTGTAACACTCTATCTAAAAGTTAGATGTAATTATCACAGAGTGCTGACTGATTTAATGCCAATCCAGAGGGAGTAACACAAAATTAAATATTAGCTTTTTTGCTGCTTAGATTCATATTAATTTTATAGTAATTTACTTCTAGTATCACTGATTTCAAGTGATGTGGAAAGATTTAAGGACTTTTGCTGTAGAGAGTAACCATTAATAATTAGTTATCAAAAAAGGAAAATTATGGCCTTTGCTAAATACACATACACGTGTGTGTGTGTGTGTGTGTGTGTGTGTGTGTGTGTTCTGTAAGGATCATTTTCCATGCAACCATTTTAAAACAATCATAAAAGGCTATGAAAAATGTCCATATACATAGCACCATCATTTTTACAGAGCTTTGTGGATCTAAGATGATCCATTATCATTATAGTTTAAAACAACAATGGTAGTCCAAGCGGTTGTATGATACCCGTATCTATACTCACAATGATTCTAGCTCACTGGAAATAGTTCAGCCCAGTTCTTAAGAGCTCTATTTCCATTTCCACAGTCTGTATCAAATGTACTTTGAAATTTATATTTAAATTTGGATGTATTCATTTTATTTTAATTTATCCTTATTTCAAATATTTTTTTCCATCTGCCAATTCTGTTGAAAAGCTTTCACTAGATTGTAAAGAAATTGAAGGAAAATATTCAGTGAGTCTTATGGTTTGTTGTTCAAACTGTGAGCTTTAATTAATTTCCTACAGCTAACTATTTCTTAGTATTTTGATGCTACTAATCTCCTAGGTATTGTACTTACATTAGCATTAGAGCAATAGGTAAAACTGTGCACCTGCAACTGTCTATGATTCTAACTTTGAATATGCTGAGGATATCTGTTTCACATAGGCTAGGTGGTGAGATAGAGATATTATATTATAGAAAGGTTCAATTCATTCTTATTCTTCTTATTCCCTTGTTAATAAAAATGTCAATCAGCTCTGTTTATTATATAGATCCCACTTTTTTCTGATCAAAATGCGGCATTTGATTTAATGGCTACAGTTTGTACCATCACTTGTATATGTCAACAGCTGATCAAAGCAATTTAACTAGTTTTGATAACTTCTTTGTTTTTTTTATCTGTATTAACATATAATTGTACAGTAAACTGAATCATAAAAATAACTCTCAGAGAGGGCATAATACATATGTTGTTTCTCTGCTGGTCTAAGACAGTAATAAAATTTGTACTGAACTGAGTTTACAGACAATGAAATATATATATTTCACAAGTGAAAATTGTGAATATTATTTGTAAGCAATATGTCCTCTTTCCCCCTTTTAAATATTATATATATATATATATATATATATATATATATATATATATATATATATATTATTTAAAAGGGGGAAAGAGGATATATTGCTTACAAATAATATTCACAATTTTCAGTAGGCACTTACAATACATAACAATAGGATCTTCCTGAATATTGGAGGGAGAAAAAAATAATATAGAAAATAGAACCAGTCTAGAGATGGGTAGTTTTCAAGTACAGTGGTATCTTGGTACACAACTGCTTTGAAACTCATCCAATTCCGTACTCAAAGCATTCTGACAAAAAAAATTTGTTCTGGTACTCCTTGTTTGGTACTCAACGCATAAGCTAAAATGTGCAGGTATTGACTGCCTTGTGACTCACTATAATTATTTCTTATGGGAAAAAACTGTTTGGTACTCATTGTTTTTGGTACTAATTGCATTGCCCGGAAACAATTAATGATGAATATTGAGGTACCACTGTAACTGTAAAATGGCAGTCAGCAGGATTTTCTCTCATACTGGTAGCAACTGTCTATAATCAAAATGGGAAAAATTTAGATCAGTAATTCTTAACCTTGGCAACTTTAAGATGTGTGGACTTCAATTCCCAGAATTCCTCAGCCAGACATACTGGGAATTGAAGTCCACACATCTTCGCAAGATGGAGAAACACTGGTCTAGAGCTATCCCATTCCCAAGTCTTTTATGTCCTCATAAGCCCAAATTGAATTTAATTAGTCACAGCCAATACCATTTCAACACTGGAGTCACTTGTGTATGGACAACAACTTCCTTCATCAGTTTGACCACCAATTTCTATCATACTGCAGCTTCAGGAGCAAACATACACAGCAGCAATCCTTAGTTCTGCTTTCTGCAACCAATTGAATAGCTTGATTCTGAAAGGTATCAATTGTTTTGAGAACAGAGCTACTGAAAATACTTGCACTCGGCACAGTTGTCTCTGCTATTTCAGCAACACTTGCAGAAGATACTCCGTATGGATTGACACCTAAAGGCAAGAGCTCATTTTTATTTTCTGGTATCCGTCACCTAAAGCCCAAGTGGCATGAACAAAACAAAGAAAGCCACAAGAAACATTTGTGAAAATGGAAGTTGGAAAATGAAAAAAAAAAACAAGCAAAGGAATACAGCCAATCTATTTTCCATCGAAAAGTTCAAAGAAAAAAAAAAGGAGGATGAATACATTCAAGGAGGACGAATACATTCAGGAATAGCTTGCAGAAAACAGAACGTATCATTCAATGATGTGATGTCTAATAATAAAAGGAGGAAGGGAAAACAAATATTCTATTAGTTTGACCTGCTCTGATCACCTTGCCATTTCTTATTGCTTGTGTAAATGAGCTTATCAGAATGCTTTCTTCTTTCAGTGACGTTTGTTTTATTTATTTCTATATAATACATATATTTATACCCACAGGCCATGTCATTAATATAGCAACATTCATGCCCCTAATTTAACTTACAGGGTTATATTGATAAACAAATAAAATTGTCTGAAATATACTGTTTCATATTATACTTGATGGCAATAGAGTCCATTTGTTAAGCATATATTATCCAAACCCAGTCTAGTATTTTAAATAAAGTTAATATTTTGGTGTTTGTTGTGATAAAAGGTCATAATGTGGATATGTTGTTATGCATATGTAATTTCTCTTGCAGCTCTGGTAGACTAATCCTCAGCTACTGAAAAAAACAGAGAACAATGAATTTTTTCCTCAGACAAAGTTCAGAATCAGAATGATTTTATAATATGGAAGAGAGGTCGCCCTCCTCTAAGCCCCAAATCTCATCCTCCACAATCAGCATTAAAAAAAGAGAGTTCTGCCATTTATATCTGCCATGGTGCTCTGACACTGAACTAAGAGGTCATGCAAGGACATTTTATAAAAATAAAATTGGCATTTAGCTGGTGTCACTGCCACATCCAAGGCTTACATAGGAGGGCTTGTGATACTGATTTGCATAACTCTCAAATCTGTATCTTGCCAAATTGCCAGCAATTCTGCTACATACATAAATATATAATTGAGAGTACATTGATTAAACGTGCCAGACTATGACTGAACTAAACTATGCCTCTTGAGCCATAAAGCTATAGTTAAATAACTATGTGCTGGTCATTGCTTTTTTGTAACCTGATCTCCCTCACAGGAATAAAAAGGAAAATAATAAACGGGTGGGGGGGGATAGGATTTAAAAAATGCGTTGAAAGATCATTTCCCCACTGAATTCTAGATATCAGTGTCAGACTAAATTCTAGATATCAGAAGTAAAGTCAGAAGTAAAGTCTTCATCGTGGTTCATCCAAGCAGGGAATAAATAAGCAACATGGCGACTGCTTTGGGAAGATGGTTACAGTTTATTGAAGAAGCAGAAAGATGGTTCTTGCAGGAAAGAGCAGAGAAGGGCTGAGCACATGGGTAGGTTTTTATACCCTCTAGCCTTTCGTTTGGAATAGTTTCCTGTTCCTGTGGCATGAACTATGAGGCTACTTCTGAGTGCTTTTCTTGGCCTTGATATCTGTGGTTTAATCCTATTATCATATCCTGCTTCCTTGGTGATGGGGCTAATGACTCCTAGAGTTTGGGTGGGGTCTGCAGATTTTAAGTCTCTTTGTCTTGACAAACTTTCTGATGGTTTTACATTTGCATAGGGCTGGCTCCTGTTTGGGATAGTTGGCTCCTGCTTTTAAAAATCCTTTTGAGGAAAATATATATATTTTTCTGCCCTTTTAATATTTCCTTCTCTGGGGCTCTGACTTCCCACATCAGGAATCTTTTAATTTGATTAATACAGCTTGGGAACGCTCTGGGTCTGTTAAATAGGCGTGTATATACACAAGGACCCCTTAAGGAAGGAAAAGAAACCTAATCATTTTTAGCCTTGTCATAATTCTCACACTCGGCTTAAGCAACCCGCCCTAGGATTAGTGCTGAAAAGATTCTTCTTAATACTGTTAAGTTTCTTTTCAAACTCTGCCCTTCCTCAATTCCTCTTATTTTATTTGAAGGTCCTTCTAATTGGTTCAGTTTCCGTTTCCTTGCATATTTCAAGGCGACGCGTGTCCTCTACAGTTGCTCTTTCGCTCAGTGTCCGATTATAGTTCATGATGCGCGCATTTAAACGCCATTGATTCAGAGTATTACTTATGGATTTTACCGGTAGAGAGAGGTATACATGCAGCGGAATGAAAGTCTGCTGGGACTAAACTAGCCCTGAGCAGCAGCCCCGAATCCTTTGTTTCCACGGTACTGTATTCGGGCTCTTGCATTAGAAACCGCGAAGGTTGCTCTCCCTCGCTCACCGTCCGGTTTTTGCAAAAGTCCCACGGCGAGACCAGCCACGCTTCCCCCCAACGGCGCCCAAAGCACCCGAGTCGCTCTTCTCCAAGGCCGCAGTCCCCCCCAAACGCTTATTGGTTAAGTAAGGAAAGCCCTCCACCAATGGAAAGGGGAGCTCGGCCCTCGGTGCTCTGCCCCCTTCTAGAGTGGAAGGTGTTGAGCTGCTTCCCGTCAAAAAGTCTCAGTAGAGGTGGCGGCGGCGGCGGCGGCGGCGGCGGCGGGTGGGCGGCTTTTCCGTGAAGGGGATGCGCCGCCCGCCCTTTCCTTGCCTGCGCGCTTCCCGCCCTCCCGCCCCCTTTTTCCCGGGGAAGCAAGAGCGAGGGGGCCGCTGCCGCGTCTTCTTCAAGTCCTTTCCAGCTCCGCCAGGAAGGCGGTGCGGAGCGACGAGGGCGCCGCTGTCCGCCTCTCTCTGGCCCTTTCTGGGGACGGGGAGCCCCAGGCGGAGAGGAGCGGAAGAGGGACTCCCAAGTTTGAGTGGGCAAAGAGGAGGCGCCCCCCGGGGCTTCGGTGCGCCCCTCCTGCAGGTAAGGGAGGTCCCGGAGGGGCGGCGGTTGATGCTTTCTCCACCGGCTCATCTTCAAACCTGGGTTCCCCTTCCCAGAATAAAAGTTCTTTTTAAATTTATTTTTCTATTCTTCTGTTATTCCCAGAATAAAAAGTTCTTGCGGGGGGGGGGGGGAGGCGGCTTGGTCTCCTGTACAACTGCGCTGGATGTTGCCCTGGAAGGGTTTTTGGACCTGCCGCCGGGGTTAGCCCGCCTGTGGTTCAAGGTTGTGTACCGCGATCTTGGATGCAAAATAGCTGATATGGGGGGGAGGTATATAAGTTATTATTAAGGAATACAATAATTTGCATTAAGCTTTTACTGATTAAGAAATGACTTCGTATGGCTTTTGAAGAGGAAAATCTCCCACCCACCTACACACAAACAAACGCTGTTGTTTAGCAGCTTGCAATTTCATTTTTTAAAATGTTATCTCTGTAAACATCTGCCTTCCTAGTATGGTACCGGGCCCGGTTCACTCTTGGATGGGGTTGTTTTGTTTTGGTTTTTTTGTGAGTCCTTGATGCCCTCTAGTGTTTTGTGAGATTCAGAATTGTTTCATTGGCGTGACAATCAAATGGAACTTTAATCAACCCCGGACCTTACGATGAATATCTTTAAAAAAAAAAAAATCTGAATTTCTAAACATGGTTATGTCTTCTTGTTTACATAGACTTTTTAAGTGAAACAGTAAACTTTTGCTTGCAAGTTACATGGGAGTTTTGAAGCAAGAGATGAACAGAAAATTAAATATTTTAGAAAACTATTTGATATCCAAGTATTTTAGAATATATATTAAAATTAAAGTTCATATAATGAACTTAATATGCAAAAATGAGGTGTGACTAACTGTCTTGGGCAAAAAGGCAGCCAATATATACAAATGTAGACAAAACAGTAGTAGAGAATAAATTGTTTAGCTTTCACCCATACTATTTCCACTTCTTTAGACTTAAAGAGGTGTACTTCTGATTAAAATGAAAGGAACTGAATTATTAAATGTTTTAGTAATGTCATTTGAAAAAGAATGTAATGAACAGGATACATTTCATGATAGTTATTATCTGGATGTTATTTTGAATTTTGGCTGAATTTGAGTCTTCAAGGAACTATTCTGAATTTTGTTTATTTTTTTTCAATCCTGACTTTATCATGTTGATAAATAAGTAAGGACAGCAAATATACCTAATTATCTTTCCTTCTCTTATTTTCCCCATAACAACAACCCTGTGAGGTGCCTGAACCAAAATCACTCAATTGGCTTTCATACCTAAGGCAGGCCTAGAACTTAGAGACAATGGAGTAAACTCATTTGAAAGAACAAACAGTAATTTTAAAACAGATAGAAAGTATAATACAGCTTACCTAGATATGGGAGTTGGAGGCTTCCAATCTGATTTTATTTTACTTTTTAAAATAAATATTGTCCTATTACTTTGAGGGAAAAATATATAGGGGCCTAACACTTTGTACTGCATTTTTAGGCAAGCATGACTGAAGTGTTTCTAGCAATTCCATCCACAGTTGAATAAAATATTTCAATCTAGCTCAGTGGTTCTCAACCTGTGGGTCAGGACCCCATTTGGGGTCGAATGACCATTTCACGGGGGTCGCCAAACAACGCAGTCCACCATTTTTTTTCCCCTTTTCCTTAGCTGTGCTACTCCCTTTTATTCTATTGGCTTTTGAAAGCCAATAGAATAGACTCTCTTGAATAGAGTCTAATTCTATTGGCTTTCAAAAGCCAATAGGAATTGTCCAGGCTGTCTCTGCCCTGCTGAGCCCGCCAAAAGTCCCATTCTGCAAACGGTGCTGCACCAGTTGAGTAGTCCTCGACTTACGACCGGTTGAGTAGTCCTAGACTTATGACCAGTTGGGGGGTCGCAGCATTAAAAAGATTGAGAACCACTGATCTAGCTGAAACAGTTTGCAGCTTCATAGTTGCAATCCTGTTAAGCATGTTTCAGTAAACTCGTTGGGATTGCATTCTTGGTTCCTTGGATCTAAGAGAGATTCAGAGCAAATTTTGTTGGGTCAGCATGTAGCTATGTAGGACTGAAATATTTAGGTTAACACTGTGAAATATGACATTTTTTTACGTTGCTACACTTTCAGGATATTTTGTGTAGGACTTAAACTACAGGCTTAAATACTATTTGTCTTAATTATTTATATTGTAGCTAACGCTACATAGATAAGTGAACTAAACAGCAATACAACTGCAAATATTCATAAAATTTGGTTTAGTTGGGCTATAAGGGGCTATTTGGAGAAATGTATTGTCGTCCTTTATGGAAGACTGGTTGTTCGTCCATCGAATTCGATGAGGACCTTGACATCTTGTGGATTATGGGCCATTAACGATGTATCCATAGGTGGCTAATAAGACCGATGTTAACACGGAATGTTCTGCCACATACTGAGCAAAGAAATGTAGACACTGTTACTTCAGCATTTACTGCAAATATGTACTTAGTGAAGTAGGTATTCCTTAAAAGGAGAGCTGCAGAAAAAATTCACAGGCATGAAATATAAAGCATTTTGTGGATAGTATCAGGTTTAAAAGAATAGGTCTGGGTTATGTGATTCATACCTGATGGATTCATATATGCTGGGAAATTATCAAGTATAAATATTGATTTTTTAAAAAATGTAAATAAACACACACATGTATTCAATAATATGATCACTCTGTGATTATAAATATTCCAAACAAGTAAGATCCAAATACATTTAAGTTTAAAAATACTAGAAAGAGTCCTTTTAATCTTATACTACACAATATATCAAACATTTACTTTATAATTGTATCAGATCAGAAAAGAGGACACAATCAGGCTGATATTAAGATCAATGAAACTTGATTATTTTTTGCATGAGGATTATGTAGGAGCTTTATTTTTTCCATTAAAATCAGTAGGACTTGAAAAAAAAATAATTTTCCTTATCATGTCTTAATGATGTTTATTTTGTATTAGTTTCCTAGCAACAAATGTTGCTTATCCTATTAGCTTATATTAGATGTATTATTTCACATAATTCATATATTAAGCCATACTATATCAATTATCATCCTCATAACTACATTTAATTTGTAATAATTACTGTTTATAATTTTAAAATATTAATTTTTTTTAATGTCTTTTTAAGTTGATGCATTTTACTGCCAAATAGGGCCAAACACAGTGTTGGTTTTCTTAAAAAAATGCTATTCATACACAGTGTTGGTCAGATGAGTTTTAATATCTGTGTACCATTATAGAAAATATTGTGCAATTTATCACCTTTAGTTGAAACATATTTAATTTTAGTCCAGGAAAAAGACTGTGCTTTATTTATTCAATTTACATGGTTGTCCACTCACCACTCCATTTTGGAAAGCTAACAATACTAAAAATAACTGAAAAATACTTCACTAATATAAATCCAACTAGCAGCAGTGATACATCTAATAGTTATATGCCAAGCACAATAGTTCACAAAACTCATATTGATACTTATTGGTGATTCACACAACATTCTGCTCCAGTGTCTAAGGCAGGGGTAGGCAACCTTATCTCTTTTATGACTCGTGGACTTCAACTCCCAGAATTCCTGAGCCAGCCATGCTGAGGGGAAAGGGAGAGGTTTCCAAGCTGAGCCATGCTGGCTCAGGAATTCTGGGAGTTGAAGTCCATGAGTCATAAAAGAGCCCAAGGTTGCCTATCCCTGGTCTAAGGGATGGTCCACATCCAGCATTGTTGGGACTCTCTGAATATTGGGGAAAAGCTGTTCCATAGAGCCATCATATCAAATGTAAAATCACATTCTTGGATATTGTTTGATGGGTGAAATCTGGAAGCATGCCATCCCCGTCTGATTGGACACTGGGGGGAGGGGAGTCTCTAAAGAATCTTGATCCTGTATATTCTCCCAGAGTGCTGAGAAACTTTGGATTTTAAAATACATTATCACTCTCAAGGGTCAATTTGATGGGAAAATGAGAGGAACTTCCTTTCTGGATGCAATGAACTCTGAATTCTGTCTGTCCATCCTTGTCATTTTGCCAGGTATCAAAGGTGAATATTTTTAGGAAGCCTAAAGTTCAGGATTAGAAAATCATCTGAACTTTTGTCTTCTTTTGTTTCCAAGAAAGCTCCTTCTGATTTAAAAAAAAAAAAAGTCACCAATCTTGTTTCTTGCATCACTGACTCAAAGGCCGTAGGATTCCACTAAGTCAGGTAGGCAATCTTGGCTCTTTTATGACTCGTGGACTTCAACTCCCAGAATTCCTGAGCCAGCCATACTAGCTCAGGAATTCTGGGAGTTGAAGTCCACGAGTCATAAAAGAGACAAGGTTGCCTACCCCTACACTAAGTTATACCTGCTATTGAAGAAGATTTTAATTTATTGATTTTTTAAAAAAAATATTTTGTTGTAATGCTTTAATAATTACTTTAACTATATAAATATGAATTATTTTATCTATTTTTATTATATTGATGATAATAAATTTCAGAATTTAAATTATTAAATAAAATATTGTGCCAAATTATGACATACACCAGATAATAAATAATGGTATTTGGTTTGGAATAAAAAGCTTTGTTAATTACTTGCATCAAATGAAGACAAAATTGTTTGATAAATGCCATATAGACTGCAGAAAATGGGAATTGATCCAATACATCTGGGAAGAATCAGCTTGGAGAAGACCGTTTCATGCAACAATTTTGGGAAGAAGACCATTGTAATTCAGTTCTTACTTCAGATTTAATTCCATTGTTATATTAGGTAGTTTTGAGATTATTGTGATCAATTGGTTAAGAGTGGGCGGGAAATTACTTAACTCTCTCTTTTTCCTTTCCAGAATATATTGACCCTGAATTGTACTGAAGACAGAGATACATGCTGCAATGGTGACATAAACTTCTAAAACTGCACTGGAATAAATTCTGAAACTCTTTATAATCTCAATGCACTCACAACTGGAAAGCATCTAGGCCTGACTTACAACATGACTTTTATTGTGAAACTTCATAGACATTTTCAACGAACAGTAATATTATTAGCTACATTTTGTATGGTGAGCATTGTTATTTCAGCCTATTATTTATACAATGGCTACAAACAAGAAAACGAAGTTTCTGAAATTTCTTCAGATGTTGAATGTGGGGATCTTCCAATGCTGCTATCTCCATGGAAGATGATTAAGGCCAGTGAACCATTCAGGACTGACCCTGTTGTGCTTGTATTTGTGGAAAGTCAGTACTCTGTACTTGGTCAGGATATAGTCATGGTATTAGAATCCAGCAGGTTCCAGTATCACATAGAGATTGCTTCTGGGAAAGGTGATCTTCCTGTACTGATAGATAAAAATAAAGGCAAGTATCTTCTAATAATATATGAAAATATTTCTAAATATGTAAATATGGATTCCTGGAATCGGGGCCTTCTAGATAAATACTGTGGGGAATTCAATGTAGGAATAATTGGGTTTCAAAGAAGCAGTGATAACACTTTGCAGACTTTTCAGTTAAAAGGGGCTCCTTTCCAAATCCATAGCAATGTAGGCGTAAAAGATTGTTGCATTAATCCCCATTCTCCTCTGCTCCATCTAACAAAACCATCCAAGCTTGATAAAGGGCCTTTGCTTGGAAGTGACTGGACAGTTTTCCATATAAATCATTCAGCTTACCAACCTGTTGTATTTGCAAAACTAAGAGCACCTGAAAACCTCCCTCCACCCGTTGTTAAAAATGTTCTACATGCAACAGTTATTCATGACTTGGGTCTACACGATGGAATTCAGCGAGTTCTTTTTGGTAACAATTTGAACTTCTGGCTGCACAAGCTCATCTTTATAGATGCTGTCTCATTTTTGACTGGAAAGAGACTTACATTATCCCTGGATAGATACATACTTGTAGACATTGATGACATCTTTGTTGGAAAAGAGGAAACAAGAATGAAAGCCAGTGATGTTCAGGTATGGTATGCCAGAAAGTCTCCTATGATAACGGTGATGTTATCCAAATATTTATTTATTTTTAACGCGAAACCTCTATAGTTAAATAAAGTTTTATTTAAATAGACAACTCCTTTGTGTTCAATATATTCATTTGAAATAAAATCAGTATTTTAATTAAGCCATTGTTTTGTTTTTACATCGGTTAAACCTTTTAATTTAGTAGAGCTAAAGTCTGGCCTTGGTGGGAACCAATAATAGGCTATTATTGCTCAATAGAAATCACATTAGCTTTTTTTTTCAGAATGATTAATCTTGTTGCTTCTTTTTTTTCTATTGGTGAGATATTTTGATATTTAATATCTATATATTAAACTTTGTTATTATGTACTGGATTTTTTTTAAATGAGTCATGTAGAGAAGATAAAATTATAAAGGCAGTAGATTTCCATTTTGTATTCAGGTAGTCCTTGATTTACGACCACAATTGAGCCCCATTTTTATGTTGTTAAGTGAGATATTTGTTAAGTGAGTTTTGCCTCATTTTACAACTTTTCTTGCCACAGTTGCTAAGTGAGTCATTGCAGTTGTTAGTAGCTCGGTTGTTAAGTGAATCTGGCTTCCCCATTGACTTTGCTTGTCAGAAGGTTGTAAAAGATGATCACATGACCCTGGGACACTGCAACTGTCATAAACCAGTTGCCAGGCATCAATCACGTGATCAGGGGGATGCTGCAACAATCATAAGTGTGAAAAACAGTAATAAGTCACCGTTGTACCTTTGAATGGTCACTAAATGAACAGTTGTAAGTCGAGGACTACCTGTAGTTCTATGTGCAATGAACGCATGTATGACTGCCAATAAAATGGGCTGGTGGATCATATCTGCATAACTTTTGCCCTTTCTAAGGTTGATGATATAACCATTTATAGCACGCCATTGAGGGGAGGTTTGAAGTATGTCAAAGCTTACCTATCATTCCTAATGATTCTGAGGTCTGCAGGTAATCAGGCTGAAGACACCAATTTTTTTTTTCATAAATAAATCAGAATCACATGGTGCAGTACTTTAGGATCCAGGTGGGAGATTTCTTCATTAAGTTTAATTTATTGGAGAAATAAAGGTTTGTACATGACAAATTATAGAATTCATTTTATCTTATTTTTATCCCGTTTTTATTATTTTTACAAAATAGCTCAGGGTGACAAACATCCAATACACTTTCCTTCCCCTATTTTCCCCACAACAACAACCTATGAGGTGAGCTGAGAGTGACTGGCCCAAGGTCACCTTAGGTTTTCATGCCTAAGGTGGGACTAGAATTCTCAGTCTCCTGGTTTCCAGTCTTGTGCTTTAACCACTAGACCAGGGATAGGCAACCTTGGCTCTTTTATGACTCATGGACTTTAACTCCCAGAATTCCTGAGCCAGCCATGCTGAGGGGAAAGGGAGAGGTTTCCAAGCTGAGCCATGCTGGCTCAGGAATTCTGGGAGTTGAAGTTCATGAGTCATAAAAGAGCCAAAGTTGTCTACCCCTGGTCTGGACCAAACTGGCTCTAGAATAATATATGCAAAATATTTTTTCATGGAAAGTTATAAATTAAACAAGACATGGCATACTGTACGTAAGAAGGGCATATTTTTTAATTACAGCAAACAACACATAGTTTAAGCTATTCATTACACGCTTCCTACATTATCTGTTCTCAATTTCTGCTTGGTTACTCTAAATTCAGATGTGCTTCTCAGAAAAGTTACTTTCTGTTTTTTAAAATCAGTGTTCTACTTGCTTTTTCTATGGAAAGCTTCCATATTATGAGATTGACTAATATTCTGCAAAGAGCAGACTGACTTAAAAGAAACTATTGCAGTAGACAAGTTAGTTTGGCCTAGTAGAATTCTGGTTCAAAGTATCTAGATAAGACTAAGTTGGTAAGACTCTTTGAAAATCAACAAATCCCTCTAGATATTCAACTTTCCAGAAATTATTCTGGATGGTTCAAAAAATATAGTACATGGATTTTCTCTGTAGCCATCCCCAATAAGCTAACAATTGGTTTAGCACAGCTTTTCAACTTCCTTCCCTCCTCCCATTTCATGCAGACAGATGAAATATTAAGTATGCCATATGTTGTGTTTCAGTTAAAATCTGGATTTATATGAGTAGGTGTAACCTTTAAAGAAAAGTTATTTTTCTGCACTTTAGTTCTCTTGTTTCATTAAGAAAAATTCAATCGTGAAACAGATGGCTAGGGAATAACCTATAAATCTTAAATTTAATCTAAAATCAATCTGGAATTTATCACTTTAATTATTGGGTTTGGTGCATCAGAAAGATTAGGGGTATGAAATTAAAACATAACTATTGATATTCCTTAGCTTAATCACTGAATTTTTAAAATTTGCAATTAGCAGTTAAAGAAGATATGATTATGAAACAGTACATCAGTCAATTCAATTACAAACAATATCATTTGTGACAAGTTTTAAATAGACCTTTAGTGCGTAGTATTTATTTAATAGGCTATCCAACTTGCAAACAAAATTGTGACTTAAAGTATTCTTTTAATATTAGTAGCAGTATTTGAAACTGTCATAGGCATAAGTGCTTTCTACAATGCCTATTTTCATACAAATTATTTTTCCTTTTTTTACGTTTTTCAGTTTACAGATCCTCGGGAAGAACAAATAGCTAAACCTGCAAATCCTATATAGCCTTTCCATGTTTTCTCCTGTAGAATTCAGTACAAGAAGCATAGGTGAAACATCCTTCCCCTATAATAAGCATAGGTGAAACATCCTTCCCCTATAATAATAAGTCAATAATAATAAGTCAAGCTATATTATTAGAAAACATTTACTTGTCCTTGGCTACAGTGTACCTGCAATATAATGCTCTACCTGCAGCATTATCAAATTTCTAGTTGAAATGGAAATCTTAGCATGTACATAAAAATATCCTATGAATGCAGTACATTCCTCATGGGGACTGGTTTTTCAATTATATCATCAGAGGGACTTGTGGGAAGAGAGTGGCTGATAGCTATTTATACATTAAATTTATGAAGGGACATGGTGACTGAACAAGACTCAGCTCTATAATTTTCATTCTTCAATATTCACTTTAAACTAGAACAGTGGTTCTCAACGTTTCTAATGCTGCGACCCCATAATACAGTTCCCCATGTTGTGGTGACCCCCAACCACTTATACATCACCGGGTTCCAGGGGCGTGGCCAAAGACAGGGGGAAAAAAATGGCGGACAGCCTTGTTTGGTGACCCCCGTGAAATGGTCGTTCGACCCCAAATGGGGTCCCGACCCACAGGTTGAGAACCACTGAACTAGAAGTCCTTAATAAAGTAGATTAAAACCAGTGGAAATTTTTCCATTTTGCTACATGGCCTGAGTCTGATATGAAAAACATTTAAAGATCAGTGACTTTCAATGGCAGAACTTGAGCTTGCATTTAAACAATTCATATTAAAAGAAACATGGATAGAAAAATGGCTTCCAATTTTGAACCTGACATGTTCTCTTTATTTTTATTAAAATTAATTCAATTGTTTAAATGCAAGCTCACATTCTGCCAGTGAAAGTGGCTGACTGTTAAATGATCATTTATTTTATTTATAAAAAACACAGAAATTTATAAAAGTATAAGAACCTTAAAAATGCTATAGGGTCTGCACATTGTATAAACTTTCATGATATCACTTGTTGATTGAAAATAATGAAAATTGTTAATTAAAGCAAACTTTGATTACCATTAATATGCCATTGTGGTTTAATATCTGAACAAACAACATGTTCCCAATTTTATCCAAAATAAGAAATTGAAGTTGTTATAAAAAATGTTTTTTTCTTTCATGATATAACTTCTTCCAACTAAGTGTCATGTGTGGTATGAAGTGCCCATGTGGATAGCATTGAGTTATGTTGAAATCAGTTAATATACCATCATCTGCACTAGGCCAACACTCATAGATTTGATTATCAAATGATGCAAAACCATAGTTAATTCCATGGTTTCTTATATAAACCATAACGGCTTGGTTTTACACAATATATTGAGGCCACTATGATATGGTTTATGTAATTCACTAATCCAGAGGCTCCCAACCTTTTGGGCGCCAGGGACTGGTTCCGTGGAGAAAGGTTTTTTCACGGACCAGAGGGGGCGTGGTTTCGTGTGCTGCCTGCATCCCGCGGATGGAACTTTGCTCACACGGCCAGTTTCTGGCATGCCACAGACAAGTGCCAGTCCATGGACCGGGGATTGGGAATCCCTGCAGTAAGCCAAAATCAAATAAATCACCTCATGATTTTATAAACTAAATCAATAGTATTTGTGACCTCATTTGCATTGCAAACTTAGTTATAAAAAAATCAGTAGTATTGGAAGCTAAAAAGGTATATGTGTTGGGGAGAGAATCTGACAAAGTGTGTTGTCTTTCAAGAATTTTCCTATCATTTTCAAAAAATTACTATGAAATTCTGACTTTAAGGTCATTTTTGAACACTACTGTAGAAAGTTCAGCAACTCTTATTTTACACCAGGGAATGTTGAAAAAGTAGAACAGGGAAAATATTTTTTAAAATAATATGTTCTTTTAGAGATGTTAGCAATGAATCTTTATTACTATGAATGTGGAAGTTGTCTTTAGTAGCACAATGGGACTGAGTAGTAGCACGTGGGACTGAGTAAGTCTGGCAACGTTTACGCAAATCATCTGGAAAGCAGTATTTGTACACTATATGAATACCATCTTATTAGATACTGCATTTCGTTTTACCTGTATATCAGAAGTCTGATATGAAAATAGTCTGTAACTGGGTAGGCTGCGCATATTAAATCTCTTTTCATGTCTCATTATAAGTCAGTTCATGAAAGATCAGGTTATCAGCGGTTGTTAATTATGATCTCTTAGGGGCAGAAACAGCTTCCATTTAAATGTGAAGTTGCTAAGGAATACCATTGGGAATTTGTTATTTCACTCATGTCCTGCTTACAAATCTCA